CGGAGGTGTAATTTACTCCATCCAAAAAGCAAAATACATACTGATGATGGAAAGAATTGACTAAGAGCCTATTTGGGAATATCGTTAGAGATTAGCATTAGCGTTTTGGATAAAAATTTAACGGTGCAGATTACTTTGAAAATGCCGCTAAACGGTGTCCATAGATAACCTTTTCAAAACGCTAACCATATTCCCAAGCAGGCCCTAATGCAAGATTTAATTTGGCCGGGTACTTGTCTAGTTGTCCCGTTCTCAAGCACACTTAATTACTTGATTTTCTTAGGTAGGGTTACTTTTCTTTTTAATTAAACTAGTGTTTTGACCCGTGCCATGCACGGGGTTGAATGAATGTTTTGTCGATTCTGGATTTATTTTTTATGGTGAATATCCATGTTTAGGAGTCGTCACAATCAGTCTTTTAGGATGTCAAAGACATGTCATGATTCGAGAACATTGAGTAAATATTTAGAATCTATTCATGACTGAAATGTCAAACCCAATGTTGAGAGTACTGAAATGACTTACTCCGTATAAAAAGAGTTTCTAAAAAACACAAACGCAAAAATAATCGAGGCATTAAAGGATTGTGTTAAGGTTTGTTTTGTCCACTTCAACTGCTGTATTTTCCTTTGACAATTCAAAACAATAAACGTAATACATTTCTTTTTATCTGTGTTTAGGATGGTGAATATGCAGTATATGAAACAATCGAAGGTATTGATTGTGGTCCTAATTGGTTTATAGCGGCATGTAGATGTGGCTCGGAATGGCACTAATTATTGCAATGAGTGTAATAAGCGTGTTATGCATTTGATTCCAAGGTTTTTCCTAATTAAATCTGAGCTGATTTCACATTATATTAAAGTCTTTAATTAAGTGTATCATTCAATGATGAAAAATAGGTATCAAATTTTGCCAAGCACGGGTTTGGATATTAATCAGTATCGAGACACGGAGAGTATACTGCATATTCACCCACAAACTGCTTTCGATTCTGGGTTGCAAATACCAATTATGGAGAGTAAGAAGGAATTAGGAAAAATTAATATCCACAACAATTAATACTAAATATATACTTCTTTGATATTCTAGAAAATACCAATTAAATTTTTTTACATGTATTAACATATAGCCCGTTAGTAAATTAAATTGTAAGATGAAAATGTAGTGGTTAGGAAATGAATTTAATTAAGCATTAAGTTACGATAGACTAAGGCTTTTGTATAAAAAAGATTAAAGCTTATATAAAGTTAGACTAAGGCTATGTTTACCCAGGTAATTTCTACTACCTCCGTCCCAAAAAGATTTACACGTTTTGACTAAAGTTGAAATTAAGGGAGGGATAATTTTGTGTTGACTTTCCAAAAATACCCTTGATGTGATGGGTAAAAGTAGGATGTGATGTGTAGATTATTAGGAAAAAGGTATGATGTGATAGGTAGGGTGAAAGAATAATGAATTGGGAGGAAATTCTCTCTCGATTTCTCGTGTTCAATTTACAAAGTAGACATGTATATATAGGCTCTCACAAGTTGAGAAACCTAATCACAAAAGGAAACGAAAGCAACCCTATACAAGGAAGCTACCAAAATAATATATACCAAAATATATACGAATATCCTCTTTCCTTTAACACCCCCCCTTAAGTTGGAGCATGTAATAACAAAATGCCCAACTTAGGAAGAAGAAACTCCAAACGTGACTTTCCGAGTGCCTTCGTATGAATGTCTGCAAGCTGATGCGTAGTAGGCACATGAAGTGTACAAATCTCTCCTCGCAAGAGCTCATCACGAACGAAGTGACAATCAATCTCAATGTGCTTCGTGCGTTCGTGAAAAACTTGATTAGCAGCAATGTGAAGTGCCGTCGTGCTGTCACACCGGACCGTCATGAGGTGCTTATGCTCAACCCCTAAACACCGCAATATATTCTTCAACCACTTCAACTCACAGGTAAGGACAGCCAAAGCTCTATACTCTGCTTCAGCAGACGAGCGAGCCACCGTCGACTGCTTCTTTGTTTTCCATGACACCGACGAGTTTCCAAGCTGCACAAACCACCTTGTCAATAACCGCCTCGTCAAAAGACATGCTGCCCAGTCCGAATCCCACCATCTTGTGAGTTGAAGGCTACTGTCTGCACAGAGGAAAATGCCTTGTCCAGGACATCCCTTCAGATAACGAACAACTCCAAGAGCTGCAGACCACTGATCCTCCCTTGGTTCCTTCAAAAATTGTGCTAAGGTGTGGACTGCGTAGGAAAGTTCTGGTCGTGTAACCGAGAGATAGACCAATCGTCCTACCAACCGTTGATATGGTTCTGGATCTGCAAGAACTGGAGCCTGAGAACGAGCCAAATGATGATTTGGCTCCATCGGTGCACCCAACGGCCTGGCACCCAATAAACCTGCTTCAGTAATAATGTCCAAGGCATACTTTTGTTGGCAGAGAAAAATCCCAAATGTACTACGTGCTACCTCGATGCCAAGAAAGAACTTCAAAACCCCCAAATCCTTCATATGAAAACAATTTGCTAAATAAGCCTTGAACTTGCTTATCAATTCTGCGTCGCCTCCGGCAATAATCAAATCATCAACGTAAACCAAAACATGAATTACTCCTTTCCTCCCGACAAACGAAAACAAGGAGTAATCAGAGATAGACTGGACAAATCCATAGCGCTTCAAAGCTCCAGACAACTTTGCAAACCAAAATCTAGGAGCTTGTTTTAAACCATAAAGTGATTTCTTGAGTTTGCACACCACATTAGAAGAACATGAGAACCCTGGTGGCAATCTCATGTATACCTCATCCTGTAGATCACCATGTAAGAAAGCATTACGGACGTCCATCTGATGCAGCTCCCATCCCTTGACTGCTGCGACAGCTAAAAGCGTCCGTACTGTGGTCAACTTGACTTCAGGAGCAAATGTTTCTTTGTAGTCAAGCCCTTCAACCTGATGATTACCAAGGACCACAAGCCTGGCCTTATATCTCTCCACACTGCCATCAGATTTGCGTTTGATCTTATACACCCATTTGCATCCAAGGGGCTTTTTATAATGAGGGGGACGGACAAGAGTCCAAGTGCCATTTGCCTCTAGAGCATCAATTTCTTCTCGCATAGCCTTCCTCCATCGCTCGTCCTGGAATGCCTGCTTGTAACTCTTGAGCTCCACTTCTGCATCAAGAGCTGTGAGAAAACATTTATGTTTCTGAGAAAACTTCTCATATGTGACATACGACAAGAGAGGATATTTGCATTTCTCCCCGACATATGGTCCAACCACATGGGTAACATAATCGGCAAGGCGTACATTTGGACGTTTCTCACGCTGACCACGTCCCATTTTCTCCACCGCTGGCCGGGAAGAGGACGGTTGACCGACGTCCGTGGAGAAGTCCACGGGGTCGACCGTCTGAAGCTGCTCCGAATCGCTAACTTTCTGCCTCGGAGACGGTCGACCGTCTTCCTCATCACAGTCGACCGTTTCATCATCTCCCAAAGAACCGTCATTCTGCCTCTCGGACGGTCGACCGTGGATATCAGGACGGTCCACCAGATCGACCGTTCGGTCATCTCTCAGAAATCTGTCATTCTGCCTCTCGGACGGTTCGACCGTGGACATCGGAACGGTCCATCAAGTCGACCGTCTGTAGCCGGTCTGATCTGCCGCTTTCCTCCGGTCGACCGTCCCTCCTGGAACGGTCCATCTGTTCTTCCGTCTGCAGTTCTTCATCTTCATCATAAGAGCTAACCTCATTTGTACATCTCGTAACAAGATATGCACCTGTAGGGGTCAAGAAAGGGAAAATATTTTCACAAAACACAACATCCCGGGACACCTTGATTTCTCCAGTGTCCGGGTAGTAAATACGCCATCCCTTCTTCCCTTGTGGATATCCAACAAATATTCCAGGATTGCTTCTTGGTGCAAATTTATCACCATCCCTTTTCAAGTTATGAGCATAACATCTGCATCCAAACACAAGAATATGAGCCAAAGAGGGTGGCTTTTCATAGATCTTCTCGTATGGTGTGACCCCCCTAGCAAAGACGAAGGTGTGCGATTGATCAGATGTGCGGCGGTCTGTATACACTCTCCCCAGAACTCAATCATAAGACCAGCCTGAAACCTCAAAGCCCGACCCACATTCAAAATGTGTCGGTGCTTGCGTTCTACTCTCCCATTCTGTTGTGGAGTAGACACACAAGACGTCTCATGAATAATTCTTTACTCCTGGAAATATTCGTTTAGACATTCAAATTCTGTGTCATTATCACTGCGAACACACTTTATTTTTTTCCCAAATTGTCGTTCTACCATAGCACAGAATTGTTTAAAAACAGTGCCAACCTTACGTTTGGAATCAAGCAAATGTACCCAAACATCTCTTGAAAAATCATCCACAATGGTCAAGAACATTGTAGAACCATCAAAACTTGGAGTCCTATATGGTCCCCATAAATCACAGTGTATCATATCAAATTTATCATCAGATTGATAAAAACTTATAGGAAAACTCCCACGAGTCTGTTTAGCACGCAAACAAATGTCATAACAACTGTGACTACTCTTACTTGTTCCAACTCCAAGAACAAGAGACAAAACATGAGAGGAAGGATGTCCAAGTCGTTTGTGCCAAAGATCAAACTTACTCTCCTTCTTCGCACTGCACACCATCTTCTTTTCAGGCTCCTTGAAGTAATAAAGTCCTCCTTCCTGCTCACCCATACCAATTTCTGTCTTTAAACACAGATCCTGTAGTATACACTTATCGTTGGCAAAACGTGCCTCACAATTCAAATCCGTTGTCAATTGTGACACAAAGATTAAATGGCAACTCAAAGTGGGAACATATAGGACATCATGCAGAATTAATTTTTCTGTCAATTTAATCTTCCCAGATTGTACAGAAACAATTCTTTTCACATTGGGCAAACCAATCTCACATGGTGATATTCCCACGACATCATGCAATAACGAAATATCACGAGTCATATGATTTGATGCCCCAGTTTCTATAATCTAACGCGGTGACACAGGAATACCTGAAAGCTTCATACTAGAAACACACGATGATAGGGAGAAAAACATCTTCCTTGGTTGTTCATCGACCATGGCGGTAGCAGAGGGGCGTACGGTAGTGGCGGAAGAATCAACAGCAGCATCAATCAAACATTCTGCCGATGGGACGACCGACGTGCTCGACCGTTCTAGAGCAACGGTCGATCGTTCTGTTATCCGGCAACAGCAACAACCGACTAAAACTGAGCAACGATCGATGGACGCCATGTCGGGCGATTGTGAAAAGTAGTCGTAGAAAATTTCTAGGGTTTTGGCTCCAATACCATGAAAGAATAATGAATTGGGAGGAAATTCTCTCTCAATTTCTCGTGTTCAATTTACAAAGTAGACATGTATATATAGGCTCTCACAAGTTGAGAAACCTAATCACAAAAGGAAACGAAATCAACCCTATACAAGGAAGCTACCAAAATAATATATACCAAAATATATATGAATATCCTCTTTCCTTTAACATAGGGTTTGAAAAAGTAAGGGGTAAAAGTGGTTTTTTAATAGAAATGGGTAGGAGATTGTGGGACACAATTTTTTTGAAAGGTGTTAATCTTTTTGGGATGGAGGGAGTATTACTTATTATTTATTTTTATTAGAATCAGATAAGATCAAATAAAAAAATCTTTAAACATCACTACAATCAGATTCGATCAAAATTGATTCCAATCAAATTATAACCAATCAAATCGGGTAAAGAGAACATGCCCTAAACTACATCCTTCATGATTTTGTATTTAATTGTTTTGAAAGAATTATGGTCTTGTATTTGGTTATTGAAAAAAATAAAATAATACTTCTTACTATTAAAAATGAGTTTAATGTTATGAATGTGTACTTCAAAACTAAGCGTCATAGCATATATTGAGAGTTGAATCTCAAAATACAAATGACAGATTTTTTACTTTTATAAAACATAAATCCAAACCTTTTTGAGTTTGTTCTTACATCCTTTGAATTTTATTTAAAGATTATTCTTATTATGTTATTATGATGATGATTATTATTTTATTCTTATTATGACTATTACTATTATTATTATTTCTATTATTATTATTATTCCTATTATTTTTATTTTTATTTTTATTATATAGAGTTCCAAACTTAAACTTACATTTTTTTTATCCCGGTTAGGAATACTTAGTTCCAAACCTAAAATGAATTTTAATTCTGTAAAAATCAACTTTATGACATTCTTAGTGCTAGAAGGATTAATTTTTCCGCAAATGATGCAATACTTTTTTCGGGTGGATCAAATCTTTTCCATGCTTATAGTTCCACATAACCAAACTTTTTGCAAATGACGCTACAATGGTTCCACATGAATTCCAAACCCATTGTTGAGACATCTTTTTGTTATACTGTTATGAATTCCAAACCCACTACTGTGATATTTTTTGTTGTTGTTATGCTTGAATATATGACGTCAACAAATATATACGGAAAGTATTATAATTCATTTGGTCTTTGCAAAAGGCTAGGGAATAAAATATTATTGAGATCAAAAGTGCATTTTACATTATGCTCTCAAGCAGTCAACTTTATACAATTACTATCAATGTGAACTAAGAACTCATTAGGTTGCTTTTGTCACTGTGTTGCTGACTACAAAGTTTCTTCTTAGAGCAGAAGCACAAAATTTACCTTCTAAAAAAACATCCATGGAACACATGAGCGTAAAGAATTCTAAAATCTAGCTTGACTTAAACACTAAAAAAATATAGGTGACTGAAGGGGAAATATGTTCACATGGAGTTTTCTAAAATTACATTTAAAGAGCATGCTAGCATTGGTGTTTTTCTCTAGAAGCTTCAAGTCTTCAATGACCTCAAACAGCCATTGCTGACACACAACACTTCTGCAGCCACCCTGTTCATCCTCCGGTATATGTTATTTGACAATGACCGGATAAGAGCGAAGCATAGAGCCTGCCAATTATATTCAAGAATAAAATGGAACATATCAAGTAAAGAAATATTGTTGCACATCTATTTGTCCCATTTTGAAAAGGAATTAAGCAAGCATGATGAAACTTATGTGAAAAGGCTAGAGAAATGATTTGATTATCACAAATATACACTAATGTTGTGGAGCTTCATCCTTATTCAGGCATAAAATACATGAGTCATTTTACAAAGTACTACGGAGTCCTATATCAATGACCTTCAAAGCCATATCAATGCCAAAGCCATGAGACGGATTCCGAAGTGACAACAAATCCAAAGGGTAATGCCGCGCCATATTCAATGCATATGCTAAACACATTAAGCTTTTGGCCTAAGATGTAAAAGCCATGGAAGTGAATTGCATTTATTATTTAAAAGACAACACAGCCACATCTTCTATATATCAATATTCTAACGCATTTATAATCCAAAAGCCCAACCAAAAAATAAAGGTACTTACTATTAGTTTGATCACTCTATACACTACTCACTTGAGATCTTTCCACTTGACCTTCCATGATAATAAGTTTATCTAAGTTGCAAATATAATTCAAATCAAAATATTAATGCACCATTCCATCCTCTGGAATAATGTAATAGAAAGTAATATGTCCATATTTTGGGTTAGTTTTAGTTTCCATGTCATAATGTATAAAATCACATAAATTGAACATAATCTTGGGCATTAAAATTGCACGGTTTGCTAATCACATACATTTATAGTGGGTAGTTAAAAATTAATCAATTTTCTCCTTAAAATATGAAGTTCTAACTTTTGAAAAGAAGAGTATAAAAATTATGACTACTTTCATATAATTTTTATTTTTAAGTGAAACACATAGTTGAATCACAACGCAAATCAATTGGTTAATGGGTGCATGAAATAAATGACACGTAGGCATTATGAACATACCGTGTTTGCCAAATTCTTATGAGAGTTTTCTGGCCTGTTTCAGCCGGCTGGTGCTGCAAGTTGGTTTTGACCTGTTGCTATTGCAGGTTGAAGAACTGTAATTTGTCGCTTGAAATTGATGAAGGTGAGAATTGTTAGTTCCATGATGTTGGCTAATCTTTTGGCAAAATAGAATCCCATATTTGTTAGGTGTTTTACTAGGTAGAAACCTCTATTTGTTAGGAGAGATCTATTTTATTTAGACTTTTAGAGCTGCTGCAATTTTCGAGGTTGACACAGAAGATGCTACAGCACGATGCTGCAACACACTGTTTGGTATCAGAGCTGTTGAGCTTACGTTATTAGTTTGATCTTTGGGTGGTTCGTTGCAAACAATCATGGTGATCTCTTAAAGAGTTAGCACAGTTTCTGAAGCAAGATGTGGTATTGATGCATATCCTGAGGGGGAGTAAATTGCAAAAAGGGATGGAGCTCCAGCATGAAATTCAGATGGGAAGCATGTGCATGGATCTTAAAGGTAGATTTTATTTGTTTTGAGCTTGTTATTGTTGTTGCTCTTAAAAGAACTTGGTATTACTTTTCTTTTTTACCCTAAATAAATTTGGCATATTTTGTGTCAAAAAGGGGGAGAAAGGCTTAGTTCTTAAAAGATGCTTTAATCTTTTATGCGCATGGTGCACGATGTATTTTGCCAAAAAATTGCCAAAGGGAGAGATTGTTAGTTCCATGATGTTGGCTAATCTTTTGGCAAAATAGAATCCCATATTTGTTAGGTATTTTACTAGGTAGAAACCTCTATTTGTTAGGAGAGGTTTATTTTATTTAGACTTCTAGAGCTGCTGCAGTTTTCGAGGTTGACACAGAAGATGCTACAACACGATGCTGCAACACACTGTTCGGGATCAGAGGTCTGAGCACGAGATTTTAAGATACAATCTGAATTAGAGACCTATTGGGATTGTGATTACATGATAATAACTCCAGTTGTACATGCTAAGGAATCCCAACTCTTTAGGCTACTTGTGGATCAAGATTAAGGAAATAGAGTTCAAGCCAACTTCTACTATCCTATTCCTACTAGGATTGTGTTAAGAGAAGCGTATAAAAACGCAGCAGGTCTATGGGAATTATGTGGAGCGATCGAGAGGGAAAACAAAGAATATACGCTGATGTAGAGTGTTCCCGTCGCGTCCCGGAGCTTCCCATGCGTGAAGAAGGTTGCGATCTACATGAAGGAGGACATTTTCAACGCCAAACTGATCGTGACATCCAGAAGATGAAATAGAGCTTAACGAGTGGGCTGCCAACACGTTTGTCCTCGTGATCTCGGTGGAGATGTCATAGCCGTAGCAGATCTGTACAGGGTACGGGTTAGAAATCCTAGATTAGAAGTTTTGTCATAACAATTCGGAGAAGTGTGTCTCATCATGTTGTTATGTACTGGTGTAACTTGCATCTAGTGATTTAGTGGAGGGCTATTACACGGACGTGGGCCCCACAGATTAGGAGAGTTTCTCCGAACTGCGTAAACATATCTGGTGTTATTTTTTTGCGTAATATAGTTACAGCATTCTGCCCAGTAGGCGCTGTAACACCCATTGCATTATCTGATTCTGTGTGTGCTTGTAACAGAGAAGTGTTATAGCACACTGTCTGTCATCTGTTACTGTGACAGTGTTGCAGTATCTTCTCTACAACATAGTTGGTTGATTTGTTTGCATAGCTTTCAATTGGTGATTTTCCCTGCGCCCCACGAACTTACAAGAATAAACAACAATTTGTACAATCAGTAGCCTAACCAAACATAGCGCTAGTTAATAGCGTAAAATAGATATGAAGAAGCAAAAAAACAGAGGCCCAGTATCTAAAGTATCTAAAGTACTCCCTCCGTCCTAAACTTTCTTCCCAGAGCACTATTCCAACTTCACGGGAATTTATATTTATTTGTGTTTTTTCATGGCCTATATGATAAAATAAAATATTCTTGTCACCACTTGTTTTGTTGAACTTTTGATGTAGTTTTTTTAAATATGTATGTTTTATTTTTTATTTCTATACCAAAATTTAAATAAAATAGATTGAAAAAACTTGGAATTTTTCCGTTTTGCGCAACGGGAAGAAAGTTTTAGGACGGAGGGAGTAGAATATAAGAAGATCCAACTTTGAATTGGTATTGATTGATAAACAAAGAACTATAATTTTTTCGCCTGAAATAAATGGAGGTTGGAATAAACAATTTATACAAACAATCAATATCCTAACCAAATTAAGCACTAATTAATAGCATAAAATAGAGATGAAGAAGCGAAAAATAGAGACCCAATCGTTAAAGCATAAAATAAAAAGATCCAATTTTGAATTTTTTCTGGAATCGGCTGAAGAAGGGGAGTACCGTGAAGGAGAAAATCAATTTTAAACGAAGAAGCAATCTGTTTGGGGAAAAAGAAATCAGATACTTACCTTTGGGAAGAAGGGCTGCGTAATTGGCTACGAATTATTGGAGAAATTGACATGCCGAAAACCCCAAAAGTGAATAGAAATTGCTTACGAATTTTGGAAACAAACCTAGATCTTGAACCGTTCAGGAATTCAGAAGAACATTTAGGCGAGACTCTCGTTCACTGTGAACTCATTTCCTTTGGTGAAGAGTATATGCGGAATAGAGATTTCAAGCCCGGGAAAAAGAGTTGGAAGCATCGGTAAGAATATTTCGTTGTAGAACTCATTTCCTTTGTCATTTCAAAGCTGCATAGGGAAGAAGATTTCCCAGAAGAAATGGATTCTTTCCATTTGGATGGTGGCGGTGAATTTGGGTATGGATCGGTTAATCAATATCAGACACGTGGAGGCTTACTTGTCAAAAAAACAGGACTCTAAAATTGCCACATATGCAACATTTTAAGCATCAAACTCTCAAATTTTATATTACTAGCATTTTCACCCGTGCGATGCACGGGGTCGACGAAATTTTTGTCTATTCTAAATCTTTTTTAATGCAATATATATTTTTGAAACGAAAATGCTATGTATAAATCACCAAACACGTATTACACAATCTCCCACATCATTTTTCACCACTTCCTCTACCCACCCTTAAAACTACTAAAGGATACAGAACAATGATATTTAATGGTTCTAACTATCTCCTTAACTTGAATCTCTTTATCATGCCTTTTCCAATTCCTAGCCCTCCATATATAGTAGCACGTTGTGGCCCATCCCGCTAGCACTTCCTTCTTTTTCTTCCTGGGAGTGTTCTTCGTTATGCCCTTTGCCATCTCTACTATATCTTCCCCTTCCAGTTTTGTCTGCATCCATTCAGCTATATGGCCTTGTTGGAACACACTTTGCACGTTAAACTAAAGTCGTGTTCATTTCTGACAGGTTTTGATAATTGCCAAACCGCCGTGGATATGAAGAGTTTCGTTGAATAACTCAAGGCGTGAAGAATGGCTTGGAACAAGACCTAAAAGACTCAAGGACAGATCAAGAATTGAAGACTTAGTCGAGTCGGTCTTTTGTGATCAAAACCGATAATCAATTCAAGTCTCGGTTCTCAAAGAGTCAAAATTATTTTACAAAATCATAAAATGTTTTTATGCATCAAAATAAAGTTTTTAGATAAATCTTCTTATTGTTAAAGTCCCTGGTCCTTGCTCAGAACCAAAACCACCTAAGTCGGCGTTCGGCTTTCGTCGTTCGGTTTTCGGCGTTCGGTTTTTTGGCGCCCGAACCAACTCTGTGGTTTTCAATATTTTAAACCCTGTTTTTATCTCTGAGCATATTTTAAAGGTTCCCGAATAATTATTTTGTAAAAACCATCTTTGTATCTTGGTCAATCGGTCTAACACGTGAAAAACGGTCAAAACCGTACGCACGTGATTTATGACCTTGAGGACTTGGTTTTTACCAAACAAGTCTTGTTTTCACTATTTTATACCATATACAATGTTTTTCAAACTTGGTTTTTACTTTTGGGAACGCTTCGTTTTTGGACCTCGGTTTTTCAAAACGGGTTTCAGCTG